CCGGGAAGGCCCGGCCCTCCATCTTGCGGCGCGCGAGCCGGCGGCCGCCCCGCGCCTGCCGCTGCCAGGAAAACGCTCCCGTCGGCGGATAACGGGCTGCTCGTGTGTGTATCCCCATGAAATCATCCAGCGCTGTCGCGGAAAGGCCTCAAACTTTAACTGACTTCACGATTTTATTTCTTGCTGTCCCCCAGGCTCCCCCCGCCCAGGCTTTCCTCCCCCATCCTCCCCACCAAATTCACTTTAAATTGTGTTTTTTTTCTGCCCAAATTGAATGGAGGGGATGCAGGGACACGGCCCCGGGCTCATGTTGCAGCGCCGGGAAGCGGTTGCTGCCTCCCTGCATATCTTGGCATCCCTGGGAGAAGCTTCTGCTTCCCTGCTGCCCAGGGAGGGGAAGGGTCAAAAACGTTAGCTGGAAATTTTACGTAATCCAAGAAAGCAGGAAGGAAGGGGAAAAAAAATAATAATGACCAGTTTTTGTCATTCTCACTGCTTTGTTTCCCTCGATTCTGGACAAACACAGGAAATCAACCTTACACCAGATGCTCTGCGAAAGGGCAGAGTAAAAATAACTGGTTTTGCCGCTTATCTCTTGCACTTACAGTAATCTCCGGGTATTGCTTGCAGGACTTGTGTACATACAAATTTTTCAGCTGAGAGAGGGCTTTTCTTTTTTTTTTTTTTTTTAATTTAAGTTTGACTCTTTAGAAGGTTCTTAACTGTGTGACAGGGAAACTATATGGAGTTGTTATCAACATAAAGGGAACAGGTAGGATCCCTGCGGCTGTCCTAACCGTGGCACCGTGCGGAGTTTTAAATAACTCATCAGAGATGCGTAACTTCATCTCTACAAAATGGCTTTTAATTACTGGTGTATGCGGAAAATCTGTAAATGCCTGTAAAGCCAGCAAGTCTTTTTTTTTTTCTTTTTTTTTTGTCGTACCAGTCTGCAAGTCCATTTAATCCCGCAGAAAGTACGCGGGGCTTAGAGCTTTTCTTTAAAGCGGACCCGCGTTTTTTTCCAAGCGCAGTAAATAACAGAGGCCCGTCTGTGGGATGTGTGGGCAGCAGGGAAGCCAGCTGCTTTCTCAGTTTTTCCGCTTTGGCCGGGCTGCTCCCGCTGCCCTTTATCCCGGCTGTCCTGGGAGCTGTCCTGGCTCTGTGGCTCCGCGTTCCCCCGGCTTGGTCCACGCCGTGGTTCCTCGGCCTGTGTTTCCCACTGCCTTTCTCCCACAGGTTCCCCAGGGAAATCCACTCGGGGCTCCTGGAGGTGATTTCCCCATCTCCACATTTCTACCCGGATTTCTCCCACCTGCGGGAATCTTTCGGGGACCCCAAGGAAAGAGTCAGGTGAGACTCAACTTCAAAACACACAGACCCTGCATGAAATGACTGCAGGGATTTCCCTTCTGAGCACGAAGAGGGAAAGCTCCTTTACACATCCACCCTCTAAACCTGCTTCCCGATGGAGCTGGGCGGCTGTGGTGGGGGCATGTCCAGCCCCAGAGCTGGGACTTCACCCCAAGGCTCTTCCCTATGCAAGTCCCAGTGCTTTCCAGCAATTCCAAGCCAGTCAGCTAGACATCAGAAGGGAGATGCCATTTGCCATCAGCTTCTCCGCGAGCTGGATCACGTTTCCTATTTAAATCCAGCACCCGGCGCGCTCACCACGTTTCTCTGCCGCAGGTGGAGGACTAAGCAGAACCTGGACTACTGCTTTTTAATGATGTACGCCCAGTCCAAAGGCATTTACTACGTGCAGGTAGGTTTGGGCCTGGGCGCGCAGGGCAGCTGGGTTTATGCAGGAGCCTCACAGAGGGCAAAGAGGGCATCAGTCCTGTAAGCTAGGGCTGAAAGCTGCCTTTGTGTCTGGCCATGCTGCCTTCCTCTGACTAGCTGCTCTTTATGCATCTCTGAATTATATAATTGCTTTTTTGTTAATGCATAATCTTCCACTTTTTCTTGTGCTTCTGGGTGGCCTAGATTCCCTTGCCTGGTTGGGCTGAGCTTGCTGGGAGGTCCCTGCCTGGCCCTTGCTTCCTGCAGGAACAAAGTGGGCTGCCTGGAAGCCCTGGTTGGCACGTGGTGCGGAGGGATGAATCCTTCCGGAGGCACCTCTGGGGCAATTGCTGCAGCAGAGTCTCTTCCAACGGGTGCTTCCTGCAGCCATGGGGAAGGAGTCTTTCCCTCATGGTGATGGGAATAGATACTGGAGATGTAGCGTGGTCTGGAGTTGCAGGAAGGGCAGGAGGTCGGGAGTCGTTTAGCCGTTGGCTTTGGTGAGAAGAACCAGCTTGGTGCATCTTCCAGAGTAAACTAGGTCTCTGCCAGCCCTTGCCTCTGGTCCCTGCCTGATTCCTCTGCAGAGACACTATGAAGGGGATCTGGGTGTATCATTGGCACTGATGTCCTTTCCTCTTGCAGCTGGAGGATGATATCGTGGCCAAACCCAACTATCTCAGTACCATGAAGAACTTCGCCCTGCAGCAGCCCTCCGAGGAGTGGATGATCCTGGAGTTTTCTCAGCTCGGGTTTATTGGTAACCTTGTCCCTTTTTCACTCCTGTCCCAACAAGCACAGGCATTAAACACTTGCTAGTTCTTGTAAGCAGTTTCGCTCTTGGTCCAACAAGTTGTCCTCCTGAGATGGTAAAATATTTGGACTTGATTCTCCCTTACTTTTGCACTCTTTTATATGTATAAGAAATAAAGATCCTCAAAGTCACAACTGTCAGTGCTGATACTCACTTTTAATAAAAATAAACCAGGTTGGTGGCCCACTGAGCAGCCTCATAACTGAGATGCGACCAGAAGCTTTTTTGGCTGGTTGGGATCGCGAGTTGCCTAACATTGTGCAAAAGGAAGTTTACATCAGCACAGAGCTATTTTGGGAACAGCAATACACGGCTGCAGCAGCAGCTTGATCTGTTATTCTGAACACTGGCTCGACCAGCTTAAAAAGTCCAGTTCTTGGGGCAGGACGTGGTCTGCTCTGCAGCCCTCTGAATGCCTTTCAGACTTACTGCTCTTGGCAGAATGTAGATCTTTTGATTATCCTTGTGGCCCGCGAGACCCCAGTTCTTTGTATAATGAGTATTAAATCCAGAACTGTACTGAGAGTGCCAGCAGTGCTGGTACATAAAACAGACCTGTGTATTACTTCATTTGCGTTGAAAGATGGACATATCTAACCAGGCTCATCTTGTAATTCTTTTTCTTCCTGGCTCTGGTCTTTATCTGTTCCATGCTAAGGCTGCCCTCTCTTCTCCCTCTCCGTGCCTGCAGGAAAGATGTTCAAGTCGCTGGATCTCAGCTTGATTGTGGAGTTCATCCTGATGTTCTACAAGGACAAGCCCATTGACTGGCTTCTGGATCACATCCTTTGGGTGAAAGTCTGCAACCCTGAGAAGGATGCAGTAAGTGAACAAGTGCCAATGAAAGGAAACATTCTGTGCTTGTGCAAACATACGCTTGGTCTGCATCTTCAGAGGCCTTGGAAGGTCTTTCCAGTGAGCTCTGCTGCCAGCTGCCTTAGTGTTGCGTGTTGCTGCTTTTCTGGAACAGGCTGTGGGGAATCCTTGTGGACCATGTGAAAAAAAAATTCTGGGAGTTCAGCCTGCTGTAGTCTGCAGCTGTCAGAGATGGCATTGTTTCTGCAGCTCCACACTAGCAGGGTATTCCTGCAGTCCTTGAGGAGAGCAGCCATCCCCCTTCCTCTGTGCTGCTTTCGATTCCAGCCTGGAATCAATCCCTGCTCTCTGACCATAACCCCAGAATAAACCTTTGGCACCGCGCTCGGGTGCCATACATGCAGCCTGCCTGGAGAGCTCACCTCAGATGACCCACGAGCAAGCCTGCCATGCCTTTCCCATTGAATAGCGTGCCCAAACGGAGCCAAACACCTGGAGATCTTGTTAGAGTTTCTCTTTAGCTGGTAGGATGTGGAGAAGTGAAATGGGACCTTTCTTAATGTGCTGGTGCAGGCACTGCTGTCGTGTCTGTGGCACAGTGTTTGCACAGAACCTTGCAAAAAAAAAATAACAGTAACAAAAATATCTGTGTCCTACAGAGCTTGTGTTGAAGTCAGATATGAGCAGCAACGGTAGGGACTGAACTGTGTGGGAAGGGCAGAGGAGGAGTGTTTGTGATGGCAAACGCAAGATGAGATCACCAGCAGATATTCCCCTGTCTGAACATATTGTATTTACCCGTGTAATGGTTGTGTTCCCTCTCCTCCCTGGCAGAGGATGAGCAGCTGCGTCCCGCTGGCCTAGAACAGACGTCGCGGTCCGAACCAGTAGCGTGGCCACAACTATTCTGTGGTGGCAAATGCCAGAGCGAGTGGTCACTCTCAGGATAAATTCTGCATTTACGTGTTGAGGGCGAGCAGGGCACCCTCGGGTGCTGCAGCGTTGGGGCAAGGATGTGGTTTCCTTTTGGCCCGGGCCCGACGGAGGCTGTGGCAGCAGCTCAGACCTCGCACACATGGTGCTGTGTCTGCTGGTGCTTTGGGCCTGGTACTGGGGTCCCCAGGGCTGTCTTTGCCCCCCAGGGTCCATACTGCAAAGGGACAAAGCTGGGGCTGCAAGACAAGGGGGTGAAGCTGGGATTGATGCTGCCATCAGCACCCCCTCCCCTTCCGAGTCTTCACCTTGAATACTGATTTAATGCAAATCCTGCTGTGCAGCCATGCGAGCTCATCTTCTCCTACCTGACCAATTCCCTGCAAAGTTTTCCCAGAGGAATCTGCAAACCTCTTAAATTCATTGCCGCTTAAAAATTAACCTACTTTTACTATGGCTTTCTGGCTCCTTTTCCCCACTGTTTGCATGATTAACTCTGTGCAGTGCCCTTTTAAACATGACTTTCACTTGCAAATCCCGCTGTGCAGAATCAAATTGGTAGCTGGGAGGATTTGTCTTTTTGATTGAAAGTTTGTTTGACCCGAGCTTTTGGTAAGTGCTTTGCCTGATCTGGATATAGTATCTGCTTTTACTTTTTTAACTAATTTTAGCTTTACCTGGGGTAGGGCTGGGTGAAAGGATGACCTTGTTACCACCAGCTGAGCCATTCCCCTCCTAGCTCGAGCCAGCAAATGCTTCTTTTACCAAAGTAGCAAAGTGGAGAAGGAGAAATGGGAAAATCTTTTAGCTCCTTCCTTTTCCCACTTTCTCTCCCCACCCAGAGGGAGATGCAGGCCTGGCGTGAGCTCTCTGGGGTCCCTTCTGTTGTTGCTGGCAGCGAGGAGGGTCTCTCCCATTAGCAGGGCTAGTTTTAATTTTCTAATGTAAGCGGAGCTGGATTAGGGGATTATCTCCTCTGCAGCTTGCAGGGGACATGCCTGGAGTTTCCTGGCCCCGTGGCCGTGACAGGGACAGGTCATCGTGGGGTTCAGTGTCCCTCGCTCCTCCCGCTGTGCCCGTCCAGCGGTGACAGCTCCGGGATGGGGGCTCTGCCGCTGTCACTCCATGATGGGAGGTCGGAGAACAGATGGTGTTGGGGGTCTGGGTGTCTTTGCTTGGAAACAGACCCTCTTCTTCTAATTTTCGACCCTGTGTTTTTGTTCACGTGCTCAGAGATAGAAGCATTTTTTAAAATGTCACTCCTTGGCCACTCAGAGATCCCCGAACAGGATGCTTGTGCTAAATCCCCTGCTCCTTAAGCCCGGCTGTTCTCAATATATGCAGCTGGGAAGAGCACAAAAAATTAACTTGACAAAACCTCCTAGGATCCTTAGGACTCCCTAGATCCGACTTCCTCTCTGCTCCCTCTCTGCTCCCTGTGCTCCGTGCTTTTCCCCTGTGTCCTGCACTGCCTCCCTGTCCCTCTCCACCCCGAGGAAGGTCGCCACGATAAGGGCTGGTCGGATGGGAGTTGCATTTCCAGGTTCATGTGGTGGGATGGGCTCAAGATAGCCCAGCAGTTTTGACAGTGCCACGTGCCACACATTTGTTAACAAAAACTACTGAGAAACTGAAAACTTCACTCAAACCCCTCAGAGAAGAGACCGTAACTGCTGGTTTAGCCTGTAAATCGTGCCAGAATTTACTGTAACTTCAGATATTGGAGATCCCAAGAAGAAAAAAACCTTTCCAGATAAGACAAGGACAAAAGAAACTAGATTCACTGTCTGCCTCTACCTCAGCAGACCCAGAGGGGATTTACTCATCAGGAGGATGCCAAGACTTGCCTGGCAAGGAGGACTTTGGTACTTGAACTTGTGAAGTACCAAAACAGAACCAGCTGCTCAGCAAACCCCTGTGGGTGACCAGCTGCAAGGCAAGAAGAGATCCCTCCAAAGTGGGATTAAAAAAACCTCCTGTTTCCAAATCAAAGCCAAAATAAGTTAAACATATACTAATGTATAGATAGATGGGCAGGGCTGTTTATCACTCCTTTTTCCTCTTTGTTTTTTTGTGGTGGCCACCAACAGAACTAGAGGAAACAGCCAGAAACTGCAGCATCTAAAGTTCCACAGGAACTTAAGGAAAAAATTTATTGACAGTGAGGGTGCCAGAGCACTGGAACAGGCTGCCCAGAGAGGTTGTGGAGTCTCCTTCTCTGGAGATCTTCAAAACCCGCTTGGACGCAGTCCTGTGCCACGTGCTCTAGGTGACCCTGCGTGTGCAGGGGGTTGGACTGGATGATCTCTAGAGGTCCCTTCCAACCTTCAGCATTCCATGATTCCATGATTCCCTGGGGTTTGGCCTTGCCCGGGTCTGCTCGGCACCGCGGGCTGACGTGCGGCGCTCTCGTTGCAGAAGCACTGCGACCGGCAGAAGGCAAACCTGCGGATCCGCTTCAAGCCCTCGCTCTTCCAGCACGTGGGAACCCACTCCTCCTTGGCCGGGAAGATCCAGAAGCTGAAAGTGGGTACCTGGCACTGGCTTGGTGGACAGGTTTGGGGAAAGTTTTGGGTTTGCCCTGGGCTTGCACGTAGCTACCACGTGTCAGCACAGTAAAAGCGAGTACTGGATCTTGTGCCATGGTCATTTCCATCAGGGAGAGGGGACAGTGGCTCCTCTGCTCCTGTTTTCCACTTTAAGAACACTTAATAAACTGCCCTCTCTTGGCCTTTCCCTCCCCTAGCAGGAGCTTGGGTTAGGTGCCCCAGCCAAGGGCAGGATGCTGAGGGGGCTTCGGCCAGGGGGTTTCTAGGGGAAGGAGGCATCTTACCAAGGAAGGGCCCCTTGCTCCAGATGTTCTAAATGGGCTGGAAGGAAACGGCTTCCCAGGCAGTAAATAAGGTCTTCTATTTGGAGAAGGATCCAGCCTGGTTTTAAAGCGGCCGGGAGGGATTTGCCCGCTCAGCCTCCCCTGTCCTGCCCGGGGCAGCTGGTGCAGCCGTGCTCGGGCCCCAAAACACAGGGCTGTGATTGCCAAGCACCAGCTGAAAACCCCCCGCAGGGCAACACCTGGGGGTGTTTTCCCTGGGTTTGAAGGTTTTTTGTTTGAATTGAAAGCTCCCAGGGCAGGGGTGGGTTTCAGGTAATTCCCTTGGCACAGGGAAGCTTTTTTTGGTGCCAGTTCAGAGTGCTGAATGATGGCACTTCTGTGGGTTTTGCTGCCTCTTCTGAACTTTCATCCTCCTGGGATCCAGCTTCTAAAATTTGTCCGGAGATCTAGATAAATCTGGTGCCTTCCCCAAGTCATTTCCATCCCTCTGTACAGCGCAAATGGAGATTTTTTTGCATGTGTTGCCTTGTTGCTGGAAACCCTCTTGCTCCCAGGTTGGAAGCAGTTCTTGATCCTTTTCTGCCCTTTTGCTTTGTGTGCCTTAAGGACAAAGACTTTGGAAAGCAGGCACTGCGGAAAGAGCATGTGAACCCTCCTGCAGAGGTGAGCACCAGCCTGAAAACCTACCAGCACTTCACCTTGGAGAAGGCTTACCTGCGAGAGGACTTCTTCTGGGCCTTCACTCCCACTGCAGGAGACTTCATCAGATTCAGATTCTTCAAACCGCTCCGCGTCGAAAGGCCAGTGTCTCTGGGGCTGCATGCAGAGATACTTTCCTTTTGCTCTTCCTACCCTCCCAGCTGTTTCTTGTCCTTCTCCATTGCTGCTTGGCTCCTCAAGAAGCAGCTGCTTTGGCCAGGGGAGGATAATTTGGCCAGCAGTGTTTGTTGCTCCCATGTGTGCCTTTACTTCCCATGCTTCCAAGCAAACCATCCGGGATTTGCTAACCTGGCTCTCCAAAACCCTTGGGGAAGGTGCCTGCTAGACTGGGATGGCTGATGCCTCACCCCAGGTGGAAGACACCTTGTCCCCGCTCAACCTGCCCTTGGGTTTCAGTGGCTTTGGTCTCTGTCACAGGTTCTTCTTCCGCAGTGGGAACATTGAGCACCCCGAGGACAAGCTCTTCAACACAACGGTGGAGGTTTTGCCGTTTGATGTACGTGTTTTATCGAGCATCGGGGTGGGGAAGTGGGAAGAAAACAAGGTCTCTCTACTCAGCCCTGGTGAGGCCGCATCTGGAGTATTGTGTCCAGTTCTGGGCTCCACAGCACAAGAGGGATGTGGAGCTGCTGGAGAGAGTCCAGCGCAGGGCCACAAGGATGATCAGGGGCCTGGAACATCTGCCCTATGAGGAGAGGCTGAGGGAGCTGGGCCTGTTCAGCCTGGAGAAGAGAAGGCTGAGAGGAGACCTGATCAGTGTCTATAAGTACCTCAAGGGAGGCAGTGAGGAGGATGGGTCCACCCTCTTTTCAACGGTGGCCAGTGATAGGACAAGAGGGAATGGCCACAAACTGAATCACTGTGAAGGTGGAAGCCCAAAGGCTGCTGCGAGTCTCTGCAGGTGGCCAAGGGGGCTCACGGGCAGGGGCTGCTCGGGGGGCACCGCGGTTGCTTGGGGTTTGCGGGTGGCTCTTGCCCGTCGTGGGCCCCAGCCCTGCCCTTGGTGCCGGCCTGCACGGAGCTGCTCCCTTTCCCACAGAGCCTGCAGTCGGATAAGGAGGCCTTGCAGGAGGGACGAGGCACGGCCTTCAAGTACCGCAGGACGCCGGACGGCTACATCCAGATCGGTAGGTGAGCGCGGAGACGCTGCCGCCCCCAGACGTGAGCGGCCTTCACTAACCCCCTTGTTTCTGTTTGCGTCAAAAAGAGACATGGCCGTTACAAAAATCTTCCTTTTTTACTTGCCAGGAGTCAGATTGGAAGGGGCTTTAATCACTGCCCTCTGTAGGGCCCAACCTCCTTCCTTCCCTTCTGAGAGCAGGTGCCATCTTTAGTTAATTCCCAGTCCTACATTTCTGCCTGCCTCTGCTCTGAGGCAGGATCAAATATTCAGATTATCCATAAAAAAGACATTTGTTTGACCTGTTCTTAAAATCCGCCACCAAGGGGGAAGTTTTGCACTCTTCTCCTGTAGGCTGTTTCAGCGCATACGACGCTTGCAGCTTAAAATACTGCTCCTGATACTTGAGCTTGTTTTATTCCTTGTCCTGCCCTTGGACAAGAGCAATCGATTGTCATCCTGCCGTGATGCATTGTAAAGAGCCCATGTCCCTGCTAAGACTGCTTTTTTGAATAGACAAATGAAAAAAAAGTCACTGGAATTCACAGCTTTTTGCCTTTTTAGCATTCTTCATCATGCGAGCTGGTTTCGCTCAGCTACATTTTTTTTTTCAAAATCGCACCCAGCATGGGACACAGCAACACGCTGAGACCTTGCTGGTACTGTGGAAATAACAACTGCCCCCCGCAATGGCCCCTCTCAGATTTTGCATCCTGAAACGCTGGTGGTCTCGGATAGGTCACAGCGGTCCTGGATTTCAGTGCACTCTGTCCCCTGTCACAGTCCTGACCCCTAGCCAAATAGTTCCCATTCTTCATTGTTTCTCTGTGCTTTTTCCCCCTCTTTTCTAAGTGTAGCATTTTGCATTCTATTCAATGCCACATTTCTGATTTTCAGACCGTATCCCCGCTTGCAGCAATTGCTCATATACATGACCAGAGTTTTAATTCCCTGGGGAGAGAGGGGAAGTCACTGCAGTTACTCAGCCCCTGTCCTTTCCCGAGCAAACGGAGAGTCCAAATGCCTGGATTCCTCGTCTTGGGCTCAGAGAAATGCTTCCTCGGATGCCAAAGCTGGGGAGGGAGCAAAAAAATCAGCACTATCCATCAGGAAGCTGCTGGAAAATGCACATTTAACCTCTTTGCCCCCCTCGCCAGGCTCCTTCTCCAAGGGCGTTGCGGAAGGAGAAGTGGACCCCTCGTTCGGGCCCTTGGAGGCGATCAGGCTGGCCATCCAGACGGACTCCCCGGTGTGGATCATCTTGAGCGAGGTAAACAGGGCTTAGAGAAAGGGCACGATCTGGGCAGGCTGCTCTGGAGTGAGGGCTGAGGCTTTGCTCTTTCTGCCTGACCTGTTGCCGTCAGACAAGGAGGCTACAGGGAGGGAGCCGAGGGCCCTGCCGCAGGAGCATCTCTACATCAACCTTTCACCAAGATCTTGTATTAAATCTTGCCCCTGTCACACTCGACCACTGTGCTGCAGTTGCCCGAGTCCGATTGCTTCCTTCTCCTTCCAGATTTTTATCAAAAAAGCGGAGTGAAAGGCCCATGACCAAGAGCGGACACGTGTAGCTCCCGGGTCTTTCTCCCTCCCCTCCCTCGATGCCGCCTCAGCAACCCGGCGCCGCCGCGACCGCCCGCAGCTGCCGGGAACACACGGACCTTCCTCGGGAAGAGCAGGAGACCAAGAGAGCGACCCCGCACGCGGTGCAAACGTTGGGGTTTGCTCCGCCAGGCTCTGCCTCGGCCCTGCTAGCGCCGACGGGCGGCATCGGGATGAGCTTGAGTGAGCGCGGAGCCTGGAGAGCATCTCCAGCCCGGGAAAGGGCGGCTGCGGCTGCGTCCTGCCGCCCGAGCCCTGCTGTGGCCGGCGCCCGCGCCGGGGCGGGCCCCGAATAAAATACAAAGCCACACTGTGCCTGCCAGCATCGAACACAGCCCCTTAACTCATGGTGAAGTCTCCAGCGGCTTCATGCCTTGAGATGGAGTGCAGAATCCTGCTTTTTAAAATAACTATTTCAGTTAGCGATGGGTGTGAACTTTTGGAAAAAAAAAGAAAAAAGAAGAAAAAAAACAAGAAAAAGTAGTCCAGTTTGAAAATAGTAGGGATTAGTGTAATATTTCAGAACAGCCTTCTGAAATCCCGATGTCTCTTCAGCTATACACTGGAATGCGTTATACTACTTTAATGTGCTGTATTTTTTATTATTGGATACATTTGATTTTTCAAGTACATCTCTATATATAAATATATAAAACGACGTGCACTGTAATAAAAGCTAAATTTAAACCTTTGGCGCGGCAGCGAGCGTCCCTTGCAGCCGCGATCTCCTCCCCGTGCGGCGGGAAGGGCCGCGCGGTGCCGATCCGCCGGGATGAGGCCGAGCCGGAGGCCGCGGCCTCTCCTAGGAGACCCCGAGGAGCCGC